ATAGGTCATTAAGGCCTTGGCCTATCTATCTATCTATCTATCTATCTATCTATCTATCTATCTATCTATCTATCATCTATATATATATAAGAGCGAAATACCCCTCACGCATCATCACAAAATCTCCAGAATCGTAAAGCCTACAAACTTGAAATTTGGCATGTATGTTCCTCTTGGCTTCCAGGTGCTCACTAAGAAAGGATTTTTCCAAATGACCACCAGAGCCTTAGTATTTCCTATATTATTATTATTAACACACACTTATGCTAAGGAGTTCTACTCCCCCTCCCCACCTGAAAAGAAATCTCTTCCAAATGCAAAACGCAAGCAGAGGAGTTTCAGTTTCATAGCATCAAGCAGCTTTAGTACAGAACAGTTGAGCTAAGCCACACCCAGGCTCCTTGCTGTCTCCTTGCTCACACAGCAAATACTTCAATTTCCAAACAGCCCTCAACTCTCTCACATACTGACAGGACGCTAGCCAGATAAATACCAATGGAGGCTGGTAGGCAGAGGCAGAATTTCCCCCCCTTATTTTCCTCCCCCAAAACTAAACCCAACCACATAATTTCATAGCGAAGCACAGGTATCGAGCTAGTTTGTTAATAACAGAGCAAATACAAGCATGAAGGCTTGATCATTCCTTTAAAAAAAAGCTTTTAAAAGCATAAAAATGAGCACACCATTGAATTGTTCGTTACGGGACGTTGTAATGCCAACGGGTAAGAGCTAAATTTTATGCTCACTTGTCAGTCACCAGCTGTTAGAAAAGCTGATGTTAGACATTGTCAAACCCAATGTGCTGCGCCGTACACAATTTTGCCACGTTATGCGCGATAGACTCATTTTTGTCTAGCAGGAACATAACAAAGATCTTCTCCGGGTAGAGACATAATAGGAATTGCCCAGAGCCCTTTCATTACATCATCATCCAGCAAGGCTCAACCAAGCCTGGGGCTCAGGACAGCCTACAGAATTGCCCCTGCATGGTCCCATGGGAGTCTGACAACCAATCAGAACACAAGCTCAAATTCAAATCCCAATGGAGGGCATAAACCCCCAGGGACTCTCAGGATCTCTTCCCTTTTTCTTCACCCAGGAGCTCCAAGCCATGCGATCCTGCCCACCATTATACCATCTTTCCAATCAGCCTCCATGCTTCCAGTGTCTTTCTTCCTCATTTGGAACTGAACCCAGGCGGATATTTTCTTCCAACAGGACTTAATTGTGGTCATAAGTCGAGGACTACCTGTATAGGATTCTAACATCTATGAAACATATGATAAATATACTAAAGGATAGGAATTTATAAATATTAGTTCTAGGCCTCTTTGCTCTTTAAGTAAGAGAATTTATTTATAAAAACACATAATTATATCCAATAACATTAGATTGTGTTTTATATAGTAGAGATAACAGGTAATTTACAAGACATAGGAAGTAACTGCCACTTAATATTTACTATGAAATATCTACATGACTATCAAAATGTATCAGAGAAAAATATGATTAGTTTCACTATAGAACGTGTTGTGATGTCTATTTGTATGACTTTTTACCTTTTATTTTTGTATATTTGTATATTTTAACTTTTTGTATTTATTAAAGTTTTTTAAAATATTTTTTTAAAGGATTCTAACATGAGGATACCCAGTTTCTAACTAAACTTGAATGTATCCCCTGGAGGGAATTTTTGCAATGGTTTTTGGAACTCAGCAATTTTCCAAGCTCCACGTTTTCCCAGCAAAAATTAAGAGATGTTTCTTCGGTTTGCAAAGAAAACGTCCATTTCCCCACTTTAGGAATTGCTGGAGGGCCCCAAACAGCTGGAGACAGCAATACACGTGTCCCTAAGAACCGTGTTTACTAATGACCGAGAGCTTCCTGGGAATTGTTGTTCCTCAACTCGGTATCGGGCGCTGTTAGAAGAAAAGAGAAAACAACAACGCCCATAACCCTCTTCGGCTCGGGGAGGCGGGCCAACCTCCATTTATGAACGCCTCGTTCAGCTTGACTGGCTTCCCTGCAGGCCAATCGGGAGCGCGGAAGACATCAAAACAAGTCTTGTTTTTCTTCAGCTGGACCCCTGACAGGCAACGGCGTCATCCAATCAGCGGAAAGAAGCCCCGCGATGGGCGTCCGCGCCAGCCATTCAGATGCCGAGCCCGATGGAAAAGGGGCGGTGATTTCGAGCGAGGAGGGAGGAGGGGAAGGAAAAGGGAAAAAAACCCTATAGGGAGTCCTGTAATGGCGACGGGGTTGGTAAGTAGTTCAGAAGTTTTGAAGTGTTTTGAGACGGGTAGAAGTTGGGGGGTAAGTGGGAAACGGGCGAGTCCCGTTTTTTTTTGGCGGGCTGTCACTGAGGGGGTAGATGCTGCCGAGGAAGGACGGGGGACTCCCGTGTCATTCTTCAGCTTGTTCAGACGGGGGAGAAAATGAAAGGGGGATGAAAAGGCTCCGGGATTCCTTGAGGAATTTGAGAGGTTGCTCATCAACACTGAGTGACTTTTTACCTCACGGCTCCCAGTTATGAGGCGTACTTAACTCGGGGTTCCCTCTTCCCACTCTCTCTCTCCCCCCCCACAATTTCCCGGTTCTTTTGGGCCCCTCAGAAGCATTTTAGCCGAGGGGGGCCCTCCCTCTCAGGAAAGGGGGCCCTTCCGAGCTCAGGGACGAGCGCCCCTCCCCCACCGCTTTTTCCTCACTGTTGTTACGCACTTCTGAATGAATGGGGCCTTTCGGCGCATGCGCCTTGGGCCCCCCCGAGGAAAAAGTTTATAAACAAGGTCCTCTGCCAGGCGTCGGGCACGTGACTTGGAAAGAAGGGGCGGGCAAGGGCGGAGAGAGCGAGAAGCGGCTGTGACAGCGCCGGCCCCTGGACTCCGCCCCCCTCGGTTCAAAAGGGGACCAATCAGCGCCGCGAGGCTCCTCCGCCCGCGGCGCGTGACGTCCCCTCAACGGTCCTCCTCCTCCCCCCTCCTCCTCCGGGGGCGCGCGTGCGCGCGACGCCAGAGGCGGTGCGCGAGCTCGGTGCGCTGCCTTGCTTGTGGGGCGGGGTCTTTTTCTCGCCCCGCCCACTCCTTGAACGCTGAATGCGGAAGTGTTCTGGTTTGCTGCGGTGGGAGCCTAACAGCTGCTTTGCAGCAATGGAGCGGGGGGGGGGGGCTGCTCCTCTTTTTTTTCCCCTCTGGGGTGCTTCTTCCCCCCTCAAGCCTTATTTCTAAATCTGTAACAAGTGACCAGGATGGATTAGTTTTGATTTTAAAGACATACATTATGTCACTAAGGGGCTGCCACAAAGAAGAGGGGGGTGGGGTCAACCTATTCTCCAAAGCACCAGAAGGAGTAATATAGGGGTCTTCAAACTTGGCAGCTTTTAGACTTGTGGACTTCAACTCCCAGAATTCCTCCTCCAGTCACGGTAGCTCAGGAATTCGGGGAGTTGAAGTCCACCAGTCTTAAACTTGCCAAGTTTGAAGGCCCTTGATCTTTTCTATCTATTCTCTATCCTACCTCTATCTATTCAATCTATTCAATCTATCTACCATCTATCTATCTATCTATCTATCTATCTATCTATCTATCTATCTATC